TAGAGGATCATGGGAAAATGACGTTATTTTAAATTAAATACCCAGTCTGCACCTTTCCAATAATTCGGTGTTTTATAGTGCAGCTTTATTAATTAAAATATATATTTTTTTAAAACAGAGCCCTGTATAGGAAAATACACCAATGCCAATCTTAATCTGCTAGAAGTAAAACACATAACAGTTCCTTTTTAATTGTTTGTTTTTTCCATCAACTTTTTAAAGTTAACCAACTTTTATCTTAAAAGGAATCATGGCTTCCCTGAACCTCACCCCAGTACCCCTATTTAAATCTCTATTGGGTGAGTAGTGCAGCTGAGGTTGGTGTCAAACACTTTATATCAAAATAATGTTAATTAATTTATAATAAATGCCCACATATGCATGGGAGCTAACTTGGGCATTTATTAGAAAACAATGTACATAATTAAAATAATAAATTGTGTTTAGAATATTGAACTGTCTCCATTCTCGCTGTACCAGGACAGCCATGCATAAATTATAAATAAAAAACACAATAATTATAAAAAAGGAGGACTCGTAGCTAAAAACCCACCTGTAGCAGTTTGTTTTTAATGTTTTATTCTTCGTTAATATTAAGGCCTGGTGCGATGGCCTGAGATAATGCCAGTCTTGCTGTGTTTTTATTTCGAAATGTTCTTTCACAGTTTTATAAGTTTGGCTGTAATTAAACAAGAGGATGTTGATTTTAGCCATTGACTTACTATTCCTTGGTTTCCTGTGGACTTATGTAGTTGATGCCAAAGAGTGCACAAAAACACCTTCCTTAAAATGTAATAGATATAAGGTACTTCTCACCAGGCAGTAGGCACTAGTACTCTTACCAGACAAGGAATTGGCACAAGCAGCACATATTATCAGAGCTGGATTAAGATTGCCCCCCACCATCCCCCCCACACACACACATCCACAGACTGACACATACACACAGACTGACACATACACAGAGTAACCCATAAACACACACTGACACACGCATATACTGACCCAAACACACACTACTGTTTCCTATTGTCACTGTTGCACATAGAAAACTTATCAATAAACTGCAATCAATGTCCAGTCTTTTTTAGTAGACACTTAAACACTGGCCAAAATTGGCGTTCAAATTCGTTTTTTGCATTTTTCACACACAAACAAATATTAACACTAACTTTGGCCAGTGTTTGTGACTAAGTGGCTACTAAAAAAGACTGGACATACCCCATTTGCAATACCTTGGGTTGTCTACTATTGCAAATGGTATGCCATCGTGGTGATAATTCTCATTCCCGGGCTACCATACGGTCTCAAAGGCAACGTAACCAACCTGGTGAATTTCAATGTGAAAAAAATGAAAAATGTAACGTGCTATATTTGACCCTGTAACTTCCCAAAACACCATAAAACCTGTACATAGGGGGTACTGTTTTACACGTGAGACATCGCTGAATACAAATATGTGTATTTTATTGCAGTAAAAACAAACAGTATTCTGACACTCAGAGTTAAAATGTCATGCAGAACAAAAAAAAAATGTTAAGAAATTCTTATATTCTCCCATTGTTTTATATTTTATTCATATTAAATTATTGCCTCGATTCCACTGAGCGGATCGGTTCGGTACGGTTCGCTATTTTGGGTGTTTCAATTATGCAAGTGGTCCATATAAGCGAACCATACCAATCCATTCAGGGTCCTGCTTCAGATGTAGGGCCATAGGAAATGGAACGGTTCGGTTAGGGCCACCAATCCATCAATTGGTGGAAATAAAGAGAATTTTTTCTAAACCCGCATGGCCCCTGAAGGTCTGGCTTGCAGTGGAAACGCTCACCAGAATGGGCTGGACCATTCTAAACCTTCCAAACTGTACCGAACCGATCCGCTCAGTGTAAACGAGGCATATGTTTCATAGCTAAATATTTGATGTTAAATTAAAGCCCTGTTTCCCTTAAATAAAATTTTATATAAGTGTGGGTGCTGTGGGGATATTTATGGGATAATAATAGTAACAGTTGGGAATTGCCCACTAATTCAATTCTCAGATCCCAAAGAACGTTTATCGTGTTAAGTGAGAAGTATATCATATAAATAATATTACAGTTTTATAAAAATAGATTTTATTTTATAATAACAAATTAATAATAATAATATGTAACGTGCGTGATAATAATCAATGAATATCCAGTATAAAATGGTATGCAATACAAAGGAATGGCTATACACGTTTCAATGGCTATTACAGCATTTCCTGTCAAGACTTTATTTATGACTATCTTTAACACAGACTGAAAGTGAAACTTTTCACAGCGAAGAACAGAATTCCTCAGAGTGCAGCGTAAGGTCGTAAAGTTTAGCAGACAGTTAGAATAACCCTTTCAATGCTGGCTAGATCTCCTAGGTAATTAAGATCTATTCTTATGTAATTTTAAATAAAATAACATTTAAACCAGTTCATTGGTCATTTCCTGGAACCATCCAATAAGAGAATCTACCATATTATATAAGCAGATTTTAATTTGTCTAAAAGATATCTATCTTATATTAGAGCAAATCAATACACCTGGATAAAAACAGCGGTATGCTAACACATCAATATATAATTATTCTTAATTCCACCTGCAGAATGGAATGTTTATAACTATATATTCTTTAGTTAACTAAGATTTCTTAATATGGAAATCTGACCGTGCTTTATCCAGTCATATATAATGCTATTAATACATTTTAATTCAATTATTTAAATGAAACCAGTATAATTACCAGTTGAGTAGATATTTCATCCGATTGGTAGTCTCAGGAACTTATTTGGATGTCTCTCTGCATGGAGGTTGGAGTCCCCAAACTTCCAATTCCTCTATCCTCTTTTTCTCTCTCCTTTGCCTCTTTGCATCCCAATCTTCCCTTTGTCCTAACTTTTAAAGGCCCAGACTCTCTGTACGTCATCAGTTGATAACCCAATAGAAGCACTAGAGGTGTGGTTATCTTCCAGATCGCAAATTAGTTATTTGGTCTATAGAGGGCAGTCTTGTCCCACTAAACATACCTATCCAGGAAAGAGTTAACTTTTCTTGGTGGCTATTTTGACGTCATTTTGGCCTATCTAGATAGTGGCCATAACTTACGTATCCTTCACAGATCAAAGGGTTTATTTAAGTTTTGTCCAGACTATGTGTCTGGCAATCTGAGTTTTGACCCGTAACTTACAATGGGACCTTATATGTATAAGTTAAATTTTATTATTTAATCTTCTCTGTCACAATTGTCTGGGTTTAGAATTGATTATATTCTTCTTATCACTTGTTTATACTATGCATTCCTTTAGCTCTGGCAAAGTGGCTAGTCTTACAGAAAGAAATCTTGTGTCTTTTTGTTAACTTGAAAATAACAAAATGGAGTCTGGTCTGTTCAGAGTGACTCAGAATATACACTTTTACTTTCTATCATAGCACAAGATGTCTGCCGATATAAATACCCTGACACCCTTTAGTGCATTTCATAGCCAAAATTAATTTAGCTTATGAATAAGCACTATAGAAGTTACCAGACATATTGTGCAATCACATCATTTCTAACATAGGCCCGTGCGTGGAATGAACATTTTTGTATATATTTGTACCTGTAAATGTTTTGAACTTTACACTTAGTACAATCAACCATAATATCATTATTATCATAGCACACCCAATAACAATCTTAACATGGATGAACCAGTCAACACGAGCAATAAGGTCACTCAGAGTATTTAAATGTATCCACAGAA